TCCACAAGTCTTAAAGTTGCCAAGGTTGGACACCCCTGCCTTAACCACTGGATCAAACTGGCTCCAAAGTATTCCAAACTTTGCTCAGATTTTGAACATTGCCACTTGGCGTTTTATAAGCACACTGAAAAAAAAGCCACAAATTTCACCCTTCTCTCTGAAATCTCAAATGGGGGTGATAGAGGAAAGATGAGCATGTAATCAGAGGAAAAGAATCCTGGAAAGAGATTAGAGGAACTCACACAGAAACTTGTGGTTTTTTGCTCTCATTTTGAAGCAATTATTTCCGGGAACTATTCATATATTTCACAACATTTCCAAATTAGAATTTATTCATGCAAACATGTTTCTGTAATTAGTTACAGAATTAATCAACATTAATCAACATTCTGCCGCTTATGTTCATTTTAACAAAATATTATTGCCGGCATTTCTGGTTCTGAATGTAACTCATTCCAGCAAGGTTTCGTTGTAAGATTTTATTTGACAGCAGGATGGTTCTATTTTAAACACCCTACCATAAATTTTGCTTCTCAGTTTCCTTAAGCCATTTAATCAAAAATGAAAGTACTGTTACCTCTTTCACATCATCCTTCACAATGGTGGAACAAAAAAAGTGTTGGCTCTTTTCTTTTTATGCAAGAATCTAACGGTCTGCTATTATATTTTAAATCAGACATTCCCAGTATAGATAGCCTTCAGATATATATATACACATCAATTCCCTGAATTCTATTCCTGAGTTTTTTAGGAGTTGAGGTCTGTATAACTGGATGCAGAAGGCGTGAAATGGGAATTCTGGGAGTTGAAGACCAAGCTTCTTAAAGTTGCCAATAGTGAGAAATATTACCATTAAAGGCACAACATAGCTATTTTAACGATGGAACTCTAGAATGAGTCCCAGTATAACTCATAGTAGATTTTGTATGTGTCTGATGTTTACAGAGAGTTACAATTCAGGTTTTTTTTCAAAATCAATGATAAAGAATCTAGATAAAGTCACTAAGGAAGGTGAGCTCATTGATTCAAGCAGAGATTTCAGCCCCATGTTCATCGATTTGGTTCACAATAAATACCAGCCACTGCACACCTGTCTGATTTCCCCTAAGAGATCTGCGTCAATATAGTATCTCTCTTCGGATCTGACAGCTCCAAAGTGGTTCTGCATTCTGATCTGTGACATCAGCTCATTCAGCCGACCCTGGAAAAGATAGTTACAAAATTCAAATCTAGTTTAGGCATTCATGAAGTAAGGCAGAAGAGCGAGCGGTGTTATTTCGTTTGCATTTTCCTACCTGCAAAAAAATCTGTTCTGTGTATAAAATTAGTGCCTCAGATGGAAGGGATCTTCACTGTTGTTGTTTGGCATGGAAAAGCATTCAAAAGTGTGATTTCATCGCTTACAATTTAAAAGCGTTTGGGTACGGTGAAAGATGATCTAACTCATTAACTTCTCACTAAAGTTTCAATCATGGTTAGGTAATGTATATTGGAGGTGGAGACCCTTTGAGAGCTGTATGCAATGAAAATTTATTTTTAATGTACGCCGATTAGCGTACATTCAAAGTGACCATAAAGCTGTTCTGTTCTGTTCCTAATCTAATCTAATCTGAAACAAATCCATAGGTGTTCAAGGACCACAGTCTTAATCTGCTACTCAAGGTTTTCAAAGAGGAATTCTGCTATTAAAACTGGATGCATCTCTCTGGAAACCCTCAAGGGAGCTTCAGAAATAGCAGAGGTCTTTTCCCAATAGCTTAAATGCAATTTAAGACTGATATGGCATGTAAACATTCATTTTGAAGGCTCATACAGGTAGACCTGAGCTTGCAACCATTCCTTTAGTGACTGAAGTTACAATGACACCAAAAAAGGTGACTTATTGCTGCTTTTCACACTTATGACCATTGCAGCATTCCCCCGTGGTCACATGATCAAAATTCAGGCCCTTGGCAACTGGCAGGTATTTATGTTGAATGTCCCTAGGGTCATATGACCATTGTTTGTGGCTTCTCAATGGGGGGAAGCCGTATTTGCTTAAGAACTGCAGCAATTTAGTTAACAACGGTGGCAAAAAAAAGGTTGTAAAATGAAGCACAATTCACTAAGCAACTGTCTTGTTTAGCAATGGGAATTTTGGGCTCAATTGTAGGTCGTAATTTGAGGGATACCTGTAGGGCACCAGGTGTGCTGGAATATCTGGGAGAAGACACCCTGACTGGGGTGTCGCTCCATCTTAAGAGTCCATTTGGTAGGAGAAACCAAAGGTTGATCGCTTAGGTCTGCCGTTTAACAAGGGAAGGCAGACAATCTAGCAAGATTCTTGTAATATGGTAATCAACAATAGAGAAATTTATTTGATCCATTCTTGGGAATCTGTTCTGATTAGTTTTGTCTGAGGTTGTGGGGGGTCTCACTGCAACCTTCTGAGCTGCTCACCTTGAACTGGGTAGGGGCGTTCAGTTCGCACTGAATTGTATCCAGCTGCACCCGGAGTTGCTCCTCATCCGCTTGGATGGCATACCCGCTTTTCCTCTGGATCTCCTGCTTGATTAACACCTGCAACAAATGTTTTAAAAAATTATTACACGTCTCAGAAGCTGCATTCTCTAAAGAAAATTAATCCTTTGGGAAGCAGGGAGAACCTGGCCCATGTTTGTTCCGACGGAGCTCCATCCCACAGCATTCCAAGAACGTTGTGGTGGAATCTCCAGCTGGGGGAGGAGCGAGAAGACTGATGAGCTTGGAACCTTTGCAGGGAAGGAAGTGTCAAAGGCGAAATGTCTGCAAGAAGACAACC